AAAAAAATGAAATAAAATTGGAATTACCATTAGATAATACCAAGTAGTTTTTATCACTGTCTATATATGCTTAGCAACAAAATTTATCCATGGACGCTGTATGCTCATTATACGTGTTAGGAAAAAAAAAAACTAAATAAAATTGGAAAGACCATTATATAATACGGAGTCGTTTTTGACCGATAGTGGATAACGGATAGCGGATAGCATTAATAGTTTTGACCACCGAATTGTATTAATGGTTTGCAAAAAGATATTTGGTAAGATTATATGTTTACTATTAGCGGTTACCGGGTAAAAAGAAATATAATAATAATAATAATAATAATAATAATAATAATAATAATAATAATAATCTTTTAAAAAAAATTTAATAATAATAATAATAATAATAATAATAATAATAATAATATGATGATGAAGACAACAATAATAATACAAAAAAAATAATAATACTAATAAATAGTAAAGGTATTGATCCCACATCATAAGTGAAAGGGAAAGGGAAAGGTGGGATTGAACGCCACTTCTATTTCACCCTTGCGGCCTTGCCTCATCAGCTGAAAGGGAAAGGGAAAGGAGGGATTGAACGCCACTTCTATTTCACCCTTGCGGCCTTGCCCATCTGATGAGGAAACACAGGATAAATGACAGGAATGTGTGGTCAACCAACGGAAATTCCCAAAGTGTGTCGCCTTTTTTTTTTTTGACAAAAATATGCAAAACTCCTTTGGGAGTTGCGTTTTTGATTGTGTCCCGGGGCGTATTTTTTTTTTTTCGGTATTGCCGTAAACCGCAAGAATTGATTGCATTTACGTATTCGTATACGTAAAACGCATTACCTAAATGCGTTTTCTAGGGGATACTGTATAGACAAAAACGCAACTTACTCTTGCATTTTACGTATTATACCGTAAACGCAAAAGTAAGTTGCGTTTGTTGATTTTTTTTGTACCGGCAGTTTCCGGCGATCGCGAAGTCGCCGGAAGAACGATAAATAGTCCGCATTTCATCTTTGAATCTGGATACATAATAATAACACTTTTTGTTTTTAGATTATACATCTCTGACATTGAAGGAAACTAACCAACAACATCGGATCCAATCCCGGCCGGACATTGTACGAATCCGGGAACTACACTACTGACGGCGAACAATAAAAAAGGAAAAATCAAATTAAACCCAGAAGGAAGCTAAGCGAAGCCCTTTCATGGATTATATATATATAAATTAATACAAGCGGCGGCGCGCGAGAGAGGAAGGCGCAAGGGTGACGAGCTCCTTAGAAGATTCGCCAGGGCCGACATACATCTCGGCCAGATTCAAAAGTAAGTTGCGTTTTTCACACAATTCCGGCGGAGTAGCGCCGGTAAATAGTCCGCATTTCGGACTTGCGTTTTACGTATTTTTTTGGATTATACGTAAAATGCATCTCCCAAATGCGTTTAACGTATTCCATACGTCACATGAAAACGCATTTGGCAGATGCGTTTATGGTATACAATACGAAAAACGCAAGTCACCTTTGCGTTTTACGTAAATAATGAAAAAAAAAATACATCCGGGACCACTCTAAAAACGCAAGTGGTAACTGAGTTTTACATATTTTTGTCAAAAAAAAAAGTCAACACACATTTTTGTCATTTCTCTTGCCCCTCTACACATTCCTGTCATTTATCCGGAAACACATCATATCGGATTGACTTGGAAAAAGGAACCTAAAACTATCTAGAGTCATGATTTTTTCATAAATTTTTAAAAGTTGAGTAGAATAGAGGGAAAAAAAAAAAGACTCAAAACCGTGTTGAGTAACCAAACAAATTTTGGTGGACTTGCCATTTACCAAACAAGGCCTATGTCATAATTTTTAAATTGGTCATCGATTATTAATTTACACAAAATAGTTCCTGAGTATACAAATTTTTACTCATTTTAATTTATTCCTCAATCTTATATGGAGGACTAAACTTAGTAAATTTTTGAATAATTGAGGGACCATTTTGAATAAATTGGTAGTTAAGGATCAAATTGAGAATTATGAGATAGTTGGGTGACTATTTTAAGTATTATCTAATTAATAAGTATACTAAATTTTATGGACTCATCAATGATCATCAGAATTTGATTTTTATTTTCCTTCATAACTATCTATGATAATACTACTTTTTACTATTACTCCGTACTTCTTATCATAATTTAAAATACTCATTTTCATTAAAGTTTTTTTCCATTTTTGGTACCCTGACTATAACACCCCATCCAAATTATATTAGGTCTATGACTATCAAAATTTCCAATTTTGATGCAAGAGTATTCAATTTTTTCTACATTTGGTCCCTCGTTTAATTTGTCATCCAACCCAAGTTGAAAAATAGGTATTGAAATGTAAAAATAAAGCCAGCCAAGCCGAAATGTAAAAAAACAAAGTACCAAAAAGCTATTTGTGCATTTTTGCCAACTTAAGTTGATAAAAAAATTGTGCAAGCAGCCAAATGTTGAAACAGTTGAATAGTCATACACCAGAATTGAAAATTTTGATAGTCAGATACCTAATTTCAAAGTGGTATTATAGTTAAGGAATCATCCTCATGCTCCACCACCATACCATTATCCATATCCACCTCCTCCTCTTTATCACTATGGATACTATTATCCACCGGGACTACCACCACAACCTCAAGTGCCCCGAGCTCCAATGCCACAACCTGAAGGTCCCCAACAAAGGAGGAGATTGCTTGATTATGTTGCGGGGGATATTGATGAAGAGGATAGTATCTACTACCCAGAGTAGAGGCGAACAACTTTGAAATAAATTAAAGCCAGCAATGATTTTCTTGATTTCTAATAATCAATTTGGAGGCTCGAAGAGTGAAGATCCTACGAGTCACATTAGACAATTTCTAAGGGTTTGCATGACTTTGAAGATTAATGGGGTTTCAGTTAATGCCATTAGATTGAGGTTATTCCCATTCTCACTTAGATATGATGCACAAGTGTGGCTTGATTCTCATCCTGCCGATCATTTCCAAACTTGGGATCAACTTCACCATGAATTCATGAGAGAGTTTTATCCACCTTTAAAACCTTCAAGGTTGAAGAAATAAATCAAACAGTTTCGACAAATGCCTTCTGAGTCTTTGTATGAAGCATGGAAGAGGTATAAAGATCTACAAAGACAATGCCCTCATCATAATATGTATACTGGGGATTTGATTGTTTCTTTCTATGAGGGTCTTTCTGATAACTCCAAGGTCATTGCGGATTCTTCTTCAAATGGTGCTTTAATGGAGCTAGAGCCCGAGGATGCCAAAAATTTGCTTGACAAGATTTGCTCCAATAGTGCTTATTGGTACGGTGAGAGGTCTAATCATTAACTAAGAGCTGGGATATATGAGATTGATCAAAGTTCTGCATTGGCTGCTAACTTAGATTCTGTGGTGCACATGATTCAGAAGCTTGCTCAGAATCAGACTCAACCACTGGTAGTCACTATGTTAGAATAATTATACAATCATAATAATTGTAATGATTAACCTCATAGTGGAAGCATAGGAATCGAGCAAAACTCCAGCCATAGTTGATACCTTTGTGTATTGCATTGTAAATAATCATAGTAGCAATTTCTGCAGAGTAACGATATCTCCCACTTGGTCTCCGGACAATATAGATGGTGTAGTCACAAAATCACAAGAGCAGTGGGAGGACCAAACATATATATAAGCTACGTGCCATCATTATAGGTTAAGTAACGGAAACTGTTACTTCCGTTTCAAACCACATCATAATGAACATAAATGGCCTATAACTTGCACCACTTAATGGTGACATAATGGAAAATGTTACATTCTCCCACTTGGTGTAAGTATTAACTCAAAGAAGCAAAAAAACATGAACCATAGAGATAGTTGCTCTTAATTAAGAGTATTATCTCTCAACTTTACGTCTCAAAAAATTGGATGGACCAGATCTAATTTTTTTAAAAAACTATGATTGTATTTTTGTAATTATCACCAAACATGAAAATAATTTTCCCACATTTTAAATTCCAAAGAAAGTTTGAACTTTCCTATCAACCAAACGCCCTCAGTGACGATAGTGTTGGCAAGATAGGGACGAGAGTGTTGGACTACTGATTATTGTTCGAAAAGATAGGGGCAAGAGTGTTGGCAAGTTCCAAAGCTGACATTATGTGTTGAGAGACCCAAGAAGCATAAGATACGCGATGAAAGGGCAAGGTGAGCAGTGCAGACAAATGAAACATCAATTTTGTGTTAGAAAAGAGAAATGGTAATTTTATCTCAATGATATTTTTTTCTTCTTTCCAAAAAAGATGAAATTGAAAATATTAGAGGAGACATGAAATTCTAAATTCGTAAAAATTATGTTTAAATTAAACTTGTAAGAGCAGAATTCTAATTCCCTCCCACTAAACGAGCGTAAAGACTTGGAAAAGGGCCTGGTGTGAATCCAGTGACTTGGTTGGAAATTGGGAACCTCACTACACCAAATAAGGTATTTAGCGGCGGTTTTTATGTTGTTTAGCGGCGGTTACAAACCGCCTCTAGTGCGTTTCCCGGCGGTTATTCAGCCGTGTCTGTGTGTCGCGAAGGTTTTAGCGGCGGTTTTCAACAACCGCGGGAATTAGTTTGCCACTTATTTCCCGGCAGTTTTGACTTCATTTAGCGGCAGTTTTGAACCACCTCGAAATTTGGTTATTTTTATTTAACTTTTAACGGCGGTTTTGAGTTCATTTCGCGGCGATTTTGAATTAATTTTTTATTTTAAATATTACCGCCGCTAAATTATATTTTATTTTTAAAATTATTTTATTATCTAATAATTGTTACATTTTTATACAACCATTAAAATTTTATTATATTTTTACTTTTTATTCTTGTAAAAATATTAATTTTCATTGCTATCACAAACAAACTCTGTATACATTCAATTTAAAAGAAAATCAATTGTAATAAATATTTGTCATTCATAATATGCAAAGAAAAAGAATAATGTCGTTGATAGTCAATGTTAATAGTCAATTAATATGCAAAGAAAAAGAATAATGTCGTTGATACAGAAATTTGATGGTAAATCTGTAAACCTCTATGAAGGCTAGCAACCAAGGACTCCGTTGGTCCATGAAATATTCTGCTTGACCTCGATTGAGGGTGGGCCCTATTTTCTTCCTGTTGTGCAGTTTGTGGTAACCCAAAGTTTTTAATGATATCTTGCACAGCATTCCCTGAGGAATTTCTGGTGACATTTTGAATCTTCGGCAACTCAGATAACTCAGGAGCTTGGAGAGCAGGGCACTCAGATAACTCAGGAGCTTGGAGAGCAGGGCAATGGTGGTATGTACTGATTGAAATGCTACCTGGATGTATAGCACCGTCCAGGTACGGCCAGAGCTAATGTCTTTGTTTTCCTTTTCATTTGAACAGCTCATATAACATTTCCTTCAACTGAGCAATATTTTGCTAGTCTTCCTGTATAACCAACAAACAATATCATCATCTCAATTTTTTCAAATGATTACAGAAAACAAGCCTTCTTAAGACAAATGAAATACCTCAGCAGATGAGTCTGATCACTTAGATAATTAATATCATCTTCTGAGATTTCATTGATTACTGGATCATTCTACATTAAGTTCAACTCGTTTTCCGAACCTGGTTTTGCAGAGGCATTGATAAAAATGAGTAAAGCCGCAATATAAACCAGTTCAATTAACATAAATTCCTACTAACTTTTGCTCATGGATAAATAAAGATACTAATATATAAAACTTTTCCTCAAAGAGTTGATGTGTTAATATATTGGTGGCTATTGATACGAATTTGGGACAATATATAAAACTTAAATCAAATTGAATTAGCTTTAATTTTGTGATATAATTACTAATACTAGACACTAACCTGCAGATATGATGAACTCCAAAGAGTGAGATTGTCTTGTAGAAGTTGCATTAGCATAGTGCAATCCTTGTAATATTCTTCACTCACTGCAGTGTGCAGCTCAACTACGGCATCTTCAAATGCCTATACAATTAGTATAAAGCATCAGGACATCAATAACAAGAAGAATAACACCCTTCTAGATATTAAGCCAATACAAACAGATAAATACAGGCAAAGTAGATCTCACTTGCTAATCTGTGTAGTTAGGAAGAGCATAAACATACCCGTTTTGCCATATCACATGCCTTGTCGCATGAATTAAGAACCTCATAATGAAACACTGAGAAATTGAGGGCAAGACCCAATTGTATATGATGCGTTGGAGGCAGATCGAATAGAGCAATGCCCAATAATTAAAAAACAGTGCATGACCATCAGACATGCCGTTTACATTATGCAATATAAAAGATAAAAGAAAGCAAAGCAAACGATAGGCAAATGGAATGGACATGTCTGATCTTACTTTCTATCTGCATCTTGTCTAGGAAAAGGAACCCAAAGCTTGAAAGTGCTCCCTTAATACCCAGCCTGAAAATAAACAAATACACACACACAGCTTAAACATCTATAAACTTCTAATTCTAAGGAAAGAAAATATAATAACTGATTCCTACAACTTAAGCACGTAAAATATGAAAACCAATATAATATCAAAGTTCAAAAAGCTTGAAGTTAACAAAGTCAACATAACAGGAACAAAACAGATCACCAATGTATATACAGGAAGATGGTAAATCGCAACACCTTAACATTAAATCCAAGACTGTCAAGTTTGTAAGCAAACTCCACCTGGGCAAAAAGTAAGTTTTTACTTCAGATGTACAGAACATTTTCATAATATGTTCAGTATAACTTTAGAACGAGCTGGTCCTGTGGGCTGTGTTTCAACTAAAAAGAATACTATCTAGATGGGGGCAATACTCAGGGAAAAGAAAAGGATGGAGACACATGCTATATCTGGTCATATTGTGTGTCAATGTCTCCCTCTCTCTCACAGGTGAAAACACAAAATCTAAACAATATAACAGTTGAATCCATTTTCTTCAAGCAGAAGGAACATCATCCATTTATTCCATTTTTTTTTTCTTTATGCACATTCTGTCTGAACTACTATCAAACAGTTGGTGAGCATTGAAGTGGAAACACGTAGTGCCACAAAAAATGAAATTTACAGAGCAGTACACAAATTCATCAATTAACATTACAGAGCAGTACACAGATTCAAATGACAAGAAGAGACTATACATAATTTTTTTTTCCTAATATTGAAAAATCATAACCAATTGTATGGAAGCTAAATGAAAACGCATACAGAGTATAGAGAAAAGAGGACCTTGATGAAATCTTACTTGGAGGAAGTGTTACGAGTGAAGTATCGATGACTTAAGTTATTGAGCTGTAACCGTTGAGTGTTCTTCTTGCTCATTGACGCCATCCGTAAATTTTTCTCCATTTTCGCCATTCTCGCTAGGTCTTGAAGCCTTCATCGCTCTCCATCCCCTCTTCTTCCTTTAAATGAATGACTCAATGGCTATTACTTCTTTATATCTCATAAACCAACAGAGATTTGGATGAGAGCGGCTAGCAGAAGAGAATTAGGTGAGAAGATCTAGAGAAGGGTGTCCGAGAGTTGGAAGGTGTTTCAGTACGTACTTAGCTTCAGGCGAAGAGGCTGCTTCTGCATAAATTAATAAGAGTTGGAGGGGGTCGCAGAGGAGTAAGGCAGCGTGGTTAGAAGATTCGAAAGAAACTTGGTCTGGCGGGGAGGAATCTTGGAAAGGGAGAGAGTGGTGAGTCGGAACTTGGCTTGGCGGAGATGAGTGGCTTGACATTTGCTACTAAACATAGTAAAAATAGTAGCGTTTGTTGCAACTGCCACTAAATAAATATTTAGCGGCGGTTATTTACAACCGCCGCTAAATGTGTGTTCTAAATGTCCAGTTTTTTGTAGTGCATTTAACACTTTCTTTTTGTAATTGCGGTTATTATATTATGTTATTATTCAAAAAGTGCGCCACGTCAATCTTAGCGTAGTTGGTTCATCACCTGACTTAAAAGTCATGACGGGAGGTGGCAGTGTGATTAAACTTCGAAGCATATGTGAGAAAAAAAACACAAAGAATGTTGAAACGTCTCGATTGGATCCATTGTGCACAGAAACTCTAGGGTCGGGGTCCATTGGGTTTAGAAATCGTCCCGCAAAGCTGGTATCAAGTTTTTTAAAAAAATAAAAAACTCGTGGATTTTTCAACCTTAACATATAGTCATAAAGTTCAACAGCTCGCGTGGATTATTACTTTCGGCGTCGGCGGCAAATGAAACGTCTTTATCGTCAACTCGCGTTTCTTGTCTCTAATGAAAACTTTATGGTATTATTACGTACTCACATCCTTTCATTCATTATTGTTGGGTCAAGCCACTAAGAGCATCTGCATTAGTTGGGGAGAATTGGGGATAATGTAAGAGTGATTAGGAAAGAGAAAGTGGGAGGAGAGAGAAAAAAAGATAAAGAAAAAGAGAAAACCGAAATTGAAAAAATAAAATAAAATAAAATAATGAAGCCATCGCGCCTGACGCGTACACGGGCGCGTGCACTGCACGCGCCCGTGTGGCCACAGGCTGTGCGCAACAACGTTTGCCTGTGTTGCTTTTTTTTTTTTTTTTTTTTTTTTTTTTTTTTTTTCTTCTGACATTATTTCTATATTTGCAGGAGGATTCTTCCCTCAAATAACCCCACTCCACATCTTTTAATATCTCCATCCAAGTTTATTCATCTGACATTAACCCCTTATTAACCTCTTGTGTGGATGCTTTAACTACATCAAACATTGTAACTAGGGAGAAACTAAAACGTAACTAGGGATCGGAGAAACTAACGTTAATGTGAAAGCAAGAATGGACAGTCTACAACAACCAATTGTAATTTCCGTAAATGAAAGCGAGACAGGCGGTTAAACATTATTGGAGATAAATGTTGTGTGTAGATCGGAGAACAAGAACGTGCACTCGTACAAAAAAGAGCACAGGAGAATGACTTTCGCTACTCTTTTTAAAAGAAGGGTAAGATATTGTTACAAAAAGATTCGCAGTGTGATAAGTGCAAAAGATGGTACTTTTAAGGGTCATTTTGGGGACATTTTATGCTTATTTCAGATCACTTGTGTTGATTTATGAAGAATAAGATATGAAATGTTGTTTATGCATTGTAAAGTCCTATATCATGTGCATTATAGTGCGTGGAATGACCCTTGGGAAAAATGAGTGGCATAGGGGTTTGAGACGGTGCAACTTTGGGAGAGTGCGGAAGGAGGGCATGTACAGTACGTAGATCCTGCACCACGATCATGGCGGATGGCATGGCCAAACATCAGACACTGCCATGCGGATCGTCATGTTCGTGTCGAGCTCGAGCGCCTTGGGGAGTAAGTGGCACCGACCACGATCGTGGCAATGGGCGTGGCCAGGGGCACGAAGAATTTTGGGCGCGGAAACTTCCTTTAAATCTAGATTTTTCAGTTGTAATCTTAGTCTTGATTCATTTTTACAGATTTTATTTATCTTTCTAGATATTTTTAGCTCTCAATTCAAGAAAAAGAAGGAAGATTTAGGTTGGAGGCCTTGACAACACCTTGGATCTAGAGCTAATTCTTCCCCAATTTGATGATTGTAATCTACTTTTGATTGAAAATTGGTAAACATTTCCATTTCAATTCCTCAATTTCATTATCTTGCCATGCTTATCTTCAATTTTAGGTATTTGCAATCTTCTCCACATGTTTAATTCTTACCAAAACTCATCCCACAACTATTATTTTACCACTAAAGTTAATCACTCTGGTCACCGAAAAAATTAAAACACGCCAGATTCTTAAAATAATAAGAGTATTATTGTCCTTCCTCATCCTCATCATTTTTTCTGTAATTAAAAATCCAAATAAAAATCCTAAAATCCCAATTCAATGTGACCTCATGCTTTTTTCCTTAGTTTTCTCCTTGTTCACCGATCACTTCACTACATACCAATACATTGCCTTACCTCGGAAGAGAGCATTCAGATCCCCATTGGACCATAGTTCAACCCTGTAACAACAATTAAAACTCTTAATTGTCCAGGGGTATAATTCTTATGAAACCTGAAATTGCACCGTGAATCTTGAAATAAAAAAATAATGTATTTTTACTTGTATTTAAGTTAAGCACCAGTTGTGTTCATCAATTAATCTTGTTTAAACAAATATAAATAATGAAGACAGAAAACATAAACGAAAGTAAAAACACAAAGAAATTGTTACGCAGTTCGGAGCTCCTTCTCCTACGTCTGCGGGGCACTCCACGTCTGCCCAATCCACTATAGATGTTCACCAAAAGGAGTATTACAAGAGGTAAATACAAATGGCCTCTAGCCTTTACCACTACCACTCTTTCTAACACCTATCCAGGACTGACACACAAATGCCTGAACAATCTTCACAAGATGCTTCAGTAGTACCACGTACAGATCATGAATTACAGATAGAATATTCTTAATAATTAAATAACATATCAGATTAAATCAGGAAGCTTTGTAATAAACTATGCTCTCGGAATATTGATCTCTAAAATTGACAATCTTCATCTTTCGAACAGCTTCCTTAAATAGTAGATGTTGAGCCTCATTTGTGATCCTTAATCATAGCCTTTTATTTTGTTCGAATAATTCATAGCCACACCTTTTTTGTCTCTTTGAAAGCTTCATGCGCTGAATTCATATACCATTGTATACTGTCCACTCACTTTGACATCACATGGTCCAAAATAATTCTAACAACTCTAATTAACTATTTAATTAAAACTAATAAAATCACTTACAAAATAAAATAGCCAATAAGGTTTTACCGTGTAAATAATTTTACACTTACAATCTCCCCCTTTGGCATTTTATTTGGTAAAACTCAAGTATCAAATACTTTGGGCAAAAGTTTGAGAATCAATTTAGTTTTTATTAATAGCCCTTTGTATAAGTACTGAACAAGACAAAAGGAAAAATAGCAGCAAAACATAAACTTAATTCCTTTTTGGATCATTTGTGAATAGAGTACCTGATTAAAAATCTTCAAGCCGTGGATCACACACAGTAGGATCAAATACGCAGCAGACCATATCATAATTCAACTTGTTCATGTGAGTGCACCAAAAGAACTACTATTCCCCCTAACATAATAATGAACTACTACTCCCCCTAACATAATAATCCCATTATTTCCATAAAAGTTAACAGAAACTTCCAAAAATATGCCATGGACAAATACTCTCCCTTACTCCAAATACTCCCCATTTTTGCCAAATAAATGACAAAGGAAGGTGAACATCATAATAGTGGATTAGTTTTACCGTGCAGATGGGGTGCCCGAAACTGAGTCGTCGCCAGCATCATCCGTTTCATTAGTAGTAGCGTCAATATCAACCCTCATACTGACTTGCTGGCTTAGTTTATCATTTTCCCTCATATCCAATCTTGCATCATATTGATCAGTATCATACACCAAGAGGATAAAGCCTTATAAGCAATCCCATCAATCATATTCCTCATAAATAATCTCATCAAGTAGATAATCCAAGAATAATCCAAATAAGGTGATGATTATAGAGTGAGATCCCATAGATTATAATGAGCCAACTAAAACGATAACCCAACGAGATAATCCAAAAACTAATAGAGTCCAGTAAGAGAATCCATATATACCCAAGAAAACTAATATAACCGAAAATACCCAATAAATACACAAATTGAATTTGTTCATAAGAGATTAAGAAGAACTCCCTCTCAAAATGTACATCGTGATTGTTTCCTTTGCCAAAAATTTCACATTAGCTTGAAGCTGTAATTGGGACTCCATAATAAGTTATTTGCTTTGTTTGAACCTGTAGAAGATTTTAAAAAAAACGAGAGCCCTAGAGCCATGCACACGCAACTTGCAAACAACTCAACAAAACACATAAGAAAGAAAAAATTCAGGAATTTTCAATTTTCAATTCGAGTCAAACAGATTAGCAAATAAAACAGTAAGCACATTCATGTAAAGCAGGCCAAAGATTCAAAATAAATCAAATTCAGACATAGACACATAAAAACCAAATTTAGGCACAGATTCAGACCAGATATCACGGAAAACACACAAATAAACAAGTTAGGCACGGATAGCGCGGGAAACACATAAATAAACACAAATATGGTCATGACCGGACCAAACAAAACACAATCACATAAACATAAAGTAACACAAGAGAATAAGCACATTAATCAAATTGCACCAAATTAAACGAACAAAAAAGGAACACTTTAATCCATGCAAATTAAACGAACACTTTAAAGAGTAACCCAGGCAAATTAAACGTACACTTTAAAGATAAAAATTAAACGAACAAGTAAAGAGAAAGAATCCAGAATGATCAAATGTACCTGATGTGTGAATAAATTCAGAGGTACACACATATATAGAAGTTGGAATGGATAATTCATGTTCAATTTTAAAGTCACTCACATAAAATAAAAGACAAAATTCATCTTAGGCACATTTAAAAAACAGAGTAAAAAAAACATAAATGGCATACGAAGACTGCGAAAGAAAATTGCCAGTAAAAAATTGTAACACATTAGGATTCTCAAACTTGGGTATTGAGGTAATACCAATTAAAGAAGGAGAGTTAGAGTGTGTACCAACTTCCTGAGTGTTTGAAGCCTTCAAAGTACTGAGAAATTGTTCTTCGTCAAAGTCTTCTTCCTTCTCCATATCAATCTTCCCGTCATGTTCTGTATCAA